CGGCGGTCGGCCGCAAAGTGTCTCGTCTGGAAGCGGTTTCAGACGAGACGCTTAATGTTCTCGTCGCACAACGCGTATCCACGGTCATGCGTAAACGCGTAATGGCTGCTGCGTGTGACGGCGGCGGACATTTAATCACGTGACGGGGTTTTCGCCCGGCGCGGTGACGCGGTCGGGCGGCGGCGACGCAATAATAAAACGTTTGCCTCCCCGTCCGGCGTTACGGTCGGCGGAGGGTCGTCGGGCGCACCGCGGCCGAGGACGGCGGCGCGTTTACGCGATAAACCTCCGCCGGCGTTTCTCGTCCCCGGTAAGCGGCGGCGTGTCGAGCGCGCGAACGAACACACTATCCGCGCGCCGAACACGTGAGAAACCCGCTGACTGCCGCGCGGTGCGGTCTCTCACGTTCGCGAACGCACTGCCGCCGGCTTGTCCCGCTTACGACGTCCGCCGTAACGAACGGTTTTATTCAAAAATAAAAATCGCAAATGACGGGGACGGCCGGGATCGGCGCGCGGTAACCCGGAGTCGGCTCTCCACCGCCGGGGCGTCGACGCACTCGTTTCCGTTCGGTTTCGCGCGGTCAAATAAGACAGAACATACGCGTTACAATAGTGACATTGCACTCCGTCGATCGTCGCGGTCGTTCGTCCCGTCGCGTCGTCGTCTCGTTCCGCCGCACCGATGTCGCCGGCGAAATGATCGGCCGTTGAACGCTGAGTCGATGATGCCGGCGCCAGGCCGTACGCCCAGCACCACCGCTGCCGTATAGCCCGCGACGCATACGCGACACAGGTAAGACATGCCGTGTGTGTCACACATCGACAACGACGTCGCCGCCGCCGCAGCCGCCGCAGCCGCTGACAATGACACGACGGCGGCCGCGGTCCGAGCGCGTACCGATAATGCGTTACGCGCTTCGGTGCGTAAGTGGCGGAGGGACGGCGAGAGAGATCCGGGAAATTCGTTAATAGTAACCGGGGATTATTTCCCCGCACTGCCGGAGCGCCGCCAGAAAATTATGCAAATCGTTCATACGACAATATGCGAATCGGTCTCGACGTTTCGCGACCTTAGTACCCGTAGACCGTCACGACCTCCCTCCAGAACTCACACTTCCCGTCTGACGACGCGATGATTGAAAATAATTAAGATTGTTATTATTATTTCGGGAACCGACGTGCTCCGCGATTTAATTAATGCGTACGAGCTCGGGCGCGCAGGTTGTATTTCTGAAGGTTTACGTCACATTGTTATTTTTGTGTTCAGCCATGCATTTCGAATTATAACATTGTTTCCGGAACACCCCTATATAATCGGCTGACTGGTTAATCAGTTAATCGGTGTATCTCGTTCTCATATTACAACAAACCTAAACCGACGCGAGTCTATTGCACGTATAGAAAATTTGTTTACAAACCTAATCGTACGATGATTATGTTACTTCCGTCATGCCTCCTGGTGATCACTCGTCTGAGATATTATAATTTTATCGCGTTAAGTATTTTCGGTGGTTGACGTCCTTTTAAATCTTAAAATCCTTGGTACCTCCTCACGCTGCGGTGGTTGCGGGTACCTAGTCACGCCACTGCAGGATACTCCATATAATTCAATGAAACTATTTTGCTCTGCGCCGTAGTAACTTGAACACAGTGCATCTTTGCGAAGTCGCGGTTTTCATCCAGTATTTTTCATAATACCGTATTAGAGCTTCTAATTAATTTATACGGTTATGAGTCAGTGACTCAAAAAAAAAAAAAAAAAATTAAGCAGCAAATATGATGAAAACACTTTAAAACCGTGTTAATTATTACGTAATATTGTTATATACTTACTTTGATCCTGAATGTCTCTAAACCTCAATCGCACTGGCTATGCAATTTCGTAATGGTATTTTTCTATCGCCCGAATATAAACTAAGGCCAATAAACTGTAAGTAAAGTATAAAATAAACTAAATTACCGAATAAATTATAAAAAAATAAAATAATTTTTTAATTTCAAATCTAACATTATTATTAAACAAAAAAAGATTGCGATTTAAGCATACATTGTATAAACATTATAAATTAACCGTACATTTACAAGTATGTGAAACTCGTCATAATATTATATGAACATGTGCATACGAATGCGCAGGTAGGTCAGCTTTTTGTCAAGGGGATTATTTAAACCGATCCTTACATATTTTTTTTCTACGGGCATTTTATTTGAAACATTTTTCGAAATTTCCATTACTTTTTCCAAAAAATCACGCTCAATGTTTTTTTTCTTTTAAAAACTGTTGGGGGAGTGAAATGATCCAAATCATTCAACATATACAAAATGTACAACATGTATAAAACTAACAACTGTTAGCAATACATCGGTTTAATTTTGGTTGATTTCTCTGTTGTGTTTTTTTTTTTTTTTTAATTGCAATAGTTTATCGTGGCCTTTACTACATATAAATCAAAACTGAATTAAATACCCCATATAATATTCCGGGGATGAAAAACCCATGTCACGGGAAACAATTTTGAAGGCATGTGCAAAATTAAAATAATTATATTATATTTTTTTTTTTTAATTTTATTTTTTAATAATAAATAATAACATCGCAATTTCACACATTTTTTTATTTAAGTATATTGCATATCTATATTATTTTTTTATAATTTAATGAAACGCTCGAAAAAAAAGGTTATTTTTGGCACGTTGCGTCAAAATAATATGCCATCCTTGCTCTATACCATTAAATCTTCCCACCTACCACAGTGACCTACCCGTGGTGCGAAATTCGTCTTGTGCTTTTTACTTTCATAACAATAACGAAAGCATGAATATAAAAACACTAAATTCTTCTAATTATATCCGTTAGATTAAAGTTCTATGCGTTATTATGCGTTATATGCGGGTTTTAAGTTTGAAATATTTGTGTTTTAATGTTTTAATATTTTATATACAACAGAAATTATAAATAAAAAAATACTTTAGCCGAAATTCCCCGTCAAGAGATTCAGTTGCCTTGCCAATCTCCTCTCCTGCGCACAGCTATGAATAGGTAATAGTATTAATTACAAAATAGATTATCATTCGCAGGATCCGTCTAGAATTTTCGTTTACGGTACATAAATACGAGTATTAAATAAATACGGTACATATTTGTACGGGTTTGTAGGTTATTTATTATATTATCAAATAAACTCCGAAAAAGAAAAAAAAGAATCGATTTAAAAAACATAAACTTTACAAACACATGTATAACAAAACATATTTATTTTTTTTTTGGTAGTAATAGTTTTTGAAATAATAACATAACAATTAAATATAATATTTCGTATACATTGTGTACAATTATACAATTATTTGGGCGAGCGAAGTCCTCTTCATTGTCTTCCACTAGTTGCGCCTATGCGTGTAGATGTAAAAAGAAAAAAAAAAAGACGAGAAAGAAACTGTCGCCACAAATCGATAGGGATTTCGTTACACGTAGTTCTCGTTCCATTTATCCTATCTCGGGGACAATTTCACGTGAAACGAAAAACTATATAATAATAAATATCCGGTCGTAAAAAAACGTCTCAACGATATAACGATGATAAGGATGATCTTGCCGTCAATCGTTATTACCGATTTCTCCGGAGAAACTAATGCGTTTACGAAGAAACGTAAGCTTGAACATTTTCATTCCATACGTAAAAAATTTAACATTTTGATCTCGAGAACCATTATATGATGTGTTTTTTTTAATTTTGGGGAAGAATGAATCACTACTCTGTCTCCCCCCACCTATGTATGTGTATGGGTACTACCGTTTTTAATATAAAACTATATATAGGTCAAACATAATATATTGTACTAGATAGACATTAATTTCCAAAATTAAACATTTTAAGTCTTTTGATAATGTTTATAAAAAAATCTAAGCGTACTTTGGCCCATAGTCAATGGGTATACGGGCGCACGGTACACCCGTGAACTGCGGCTCCGCCATTCGCGAGGCTCGTTTCCCGAATCGATCGAAAATATAATGTTCTTTTATGTTAGATTTCCCATCGCGTCGCCGGCACAGTTTCTATTGTTCGAACCGCGACAATAATGGCTTTTATCGGGTTTCTTGGCGGTTTTTATACATTATAACGGCCACAACTAAATTAATCAAATGTATCAAAACGTCTTTTCGCGATGCCTGCGACTACACTACGGCGACACCCAAAGACTGGCTCCAATTAATAGCACATTACTACAACCGCACGCGAATTTTGTTTTAAGACCACGATCATTATAAAATTCTCGTATCATTGAATCGTCTTAGGAAAACAACATTTTCACAATATAATTATTGATAGGATTGATAAAGTGATCTGAATTGTGTTAATAATAAGTACGTCTGATATTCGGTTAGTAAATAATAATTGATCGTGGTAGATACAGCGCCTTAATTTTGGCTAGGTATTGGGAGGGACGGACAATTTTTTTTAAATGTTGTATTAGGCGGACGAAGGTATGCAGTATGCACTTTATAAGAAAGGCTCATTATCAAGGTCAGTGGGTCAGATTCGGGAGGGAAAAAAAGGATAATATCACAAGCATAATATTGTCTTGCTTATTATATTTTAACAAGGCGGTTAAAAGAAATAATCGGTACATAGAATGTTATAAATATTACCAACAAACAAATTATACAATTTTTAATAACAGGTTTATTTTTCTTGGCTTCGGAGACATTTCCTATACGCGTACGTTCGATCTATTGGTACATTAAAATGAACTATCAGCATAGCCAATCCGCGAAATCGATTTCAATGAACAAAATATGTATTTATTACTGTTATTACGTACTTAAGTAATGTTTGTATAGTAAGTATCCTAATTTTCAATTATTAATATTATACTTCCGATTTCGTAAATATATTTGGATACTCTTTAAAGAAGAGAACACGTGTACTTATGTGTTCATGCGTAGAAGTCGATACGGGTAATGTACATGATACTTAAATAAAAAAAAAAAAAACCGAGAGGAGGATTTGACACCCAGATCTCGTCTCCCCATGATTACGCCACTGGATAGATACACAGAGGCGGGTGAAATCTCATATAAATCGATTTTTAAAACCAAATAAAATCCTCATCTGATAAAATTTAATTTACCTGTCATTTTGCAATACGCACAACCTATATAGCGTGCATAATAGTGTTATTTTGTAATATAACGCGCATTGACATAGTATCATATAAATCTTTTTTTCCTTTATTTGTATACGTTAATAGGACCTGAAGATAATGTGTGTTGTATACTGTAAAAGCTGAGCGTATTTTATAATTTTTCAAAATCAATTTTTCCTGGCATTTTGATTAGAACTAGATTATCTATCTTTAATTTTTAAAAAAAATTTTTTTTTGAAAATCATTAGATTGATTTTTAAAATTAAATTCAAAACATTCTCATAAAGATTTTTAAAATGTTTTTCAGATCAGGAAATGATTATATAATGTATTATAAATATTTTATTTCGAATTGGAAATCCATTTTTTTTTTAACATAATTATCAAAATATGTATATAACTTTAATTGAGTGGCTATTAAGAAAATTAAATAGATATAGAAAATTTGGTTCAATTTTATTATTAAATTAAAATTAAATTTAAAAAGGTAAACTTAATTGCTTGTTAGAATGCTATAACAAAAATGTAAACATCTTAAAAATTACAAGGGTTTCATGATAATATGTTTTAAATTAATTATAAACCCACTAATACAAAACGGGGACGCAAAACCCAAATTCGACTTTACTCACACAAATAATAATTCAATTCTATGGAGATCGAATTTAATATTTCGTTTGGTAGTAATTCTACCAAATCAATAAAATATAGGTAATTATCTTTTTTTTTAGTTTATTTATAATCTATACAGATACTTATTTAAATATGATGTTTTTTTTTTACTGTCTAAAATGGAGCTCTAAAAGACCGAACAAAATTTCTTTTGATCACAGTGCACTAGTTCCCATAGTACAGAGTTATTTTTTGTTTAAATATGTATGAACATTAATTTGGGACCATTTAAATTTGTATTTTAAACAGTTTCTTCGTTTTATTAAGAATAATATGTTTTACTATTGCCTGTACACCATTTTACTATTATACAGTAAAACTTTGGTTAACATCAATTTTAAAATAAAAAAAAATTCGATTTATTTTTATTAATAAAATGTATTGTATTCTTAAAATATCTAAATATATTAATTTAGTTAGTCGTAAAAAAAAAGAAATTTGCTAGAGAATCCATGTATAATAATATTATAATCTGTATTTTAACATCAAATAATTGTTATATAATTTTATTATGAAAACTAAATTCCTTCAGAATAATTTTATTTTCAGTGGATTCAGCATTGTATAATAAATTAATATCGTGCTTTACTTTTAAACTAAATATAATTTATTCTAATTAAATACGAATTTTTTAGTGATTTATCAATAATAATAATAAAATAATAGGTAATAAAAATTAAGAAGGTCGTTTTTATATATAATTATATTTTATCGATAGAAATAAAAAGATAAACGATTTTCAGGTCTTAAAGACTTAAAGATTTTCTTAGCATAAATGGTTGGGAACTTCTGCTTTAAGTAAACGTTAATATTATTCGTATATTATTTAGTTTAAATACTATATTACAATATTTTGCATTTTTTCTAAGTAGATACTTAGTGTTAATTAATTATACAACATTGCTAATTTGGTGCCGTACAATGTGCTAAAATTGACACTATAGTTTGCAAAAATACAATAAAAAATAATATAATGTAATGGACAATGTATTTATCAAAGTTACTTTGAAGAAATCAATCAAGAAGTATATTGTGTGATTTTTAATTATTTTTATTTAGGCTCTTTCTCTCTCTTCCTTTTATTCGAATAGTTAGAAAATCGTCTTTCTCAAAAAACTTTTTTTTTGTTTTTTGAAATTATACAAGTTCGGCTTCTAAAAAACTACTCAACTTAAATATAATTAATAAATAATTGACTTCGTATTTAATATTATAATGCATACAATAAATGTATAGTATTTCAGACAATTGACCGTCAGCGTTTATAAGTTAAGTTTATAAATTACGTAAGTAAAAAATAATTAGGTATGTATTAACATTACGAATGTTGCTTGAAATCACTTATTATATTTTTGTACGACTATTTATACTTATGTGATAACCCGGATTTATAGAAATTGAACGGCAATTATTGTCATCAAGATGATGAAAGAACAGAAGTTGAGAGGGGGAGTTAACTAATAGTGAAGAATAGTAAATTAGAAGAATTAATGAAGAATATATTAACTGTAACAGTAGCGTACGCAGGATTTTTTTTCGGGGGGATGGGAGGAAGTTGTGCTTATAATAATTTCCTAGAGATGGGATAGCACATATTATCAATACATTACTATCATTGTTATAACTGAATAATTGGTTTTTGACGAAATTAAATTAAATTGTACTCTGTAGTAGTTATACGATATTATGGAAGAAAGATATTTTGGAGCGGTTTCTGACCCTTTATGCTAATATTAATTAGATAACAACAATACGTTTTTACTCCGAGGAAAATTGAAAAAATACCTAGGTACCAATAAAGAGTGCAGAAATGAGTAAAGTTGAGAAAAAGGAAGAATGATAGTAATGCGGGTTAAGACAAAGATGTGAAAAAGAAACGGCGGATAGAATGAGAATGCCCATGGGCAACAACAAATAGTTTATTGGCTGTAATAATTTTACGTTTAACAGAGTGAAGTAGGGAAACTATTCTACCATACATTCGACATTTTAATTAACAACTTTGTTCAGTGTTAGAGGTATTGATATATTATTATTTATTACGATTCGCAATTTAAAATGGGATACAAATATCCTTTGATTCGACCTTCAACCCGGTGTTAACTCGATATTTACTAAATTTATAGAGAAAGATCCCTAGATACAGGATGGCTACCTGAAAAATGTCCCGCTTCTTTGATTACTTACTTTTACAAATTACCAAAACATTATTAATTAATATGCAATATATTGATATGAATAAATATATATACATGTAGTTTTCGATAGAGAAGAGTTCTATTTGAGAATTAAGAATTATTCACTACACGTTTCACGTTACTATTAACATTTAAATTAAGGTAAATTACTCATAAAACTATATAAAATTATGCATTATTTTTTTAAATTTAACTAATATTTAATGATAACACCCTTTTGTATATTTTTGTTGAAACTTTCTTTGCACGGATATGGTTTAGAGTAAGATCAGTAAAACCAGTCTAACATAGTTATTGGTTATATATCTTCTCCTTTGCTTTCTGTAAGGGTCCATAGTATTAAAGGTCGCCTTTGTAGGTATTTTTACATGACCCGATTCCCACATCGTCCTTGCATACACCTGCCGTCCACATGCTCAAATCATCTCAGTCCATCATCTGTCATTTTGTCTGCAATCAAAGTCACGCCTATATTACTTTTTATGCACTCGTTCCTCTTCCGGTCACTCCGTCATTTAAGAATTCTCATCTCTGCCACACTAATTTTCTGTTCTATTTTTTTGTTTATAGCCCAACATTCAAAAACATAGTAGGTATTATCGTATTCTTGTAGAATCTACTTTTAAGTCTCATTGGAATTCTCTTGTCACATAAACACCTGCCGCTCTCTACATTTTATTGGTTATACATAAATGTAAATAACGTTTAATGTAATATAACAAAACGTGTCATGTGGTGTTTGTTGTTTTATGTTCAAACTGTTCATTGTTCAGAGCATTTAGAGCGAACAATATTATTATGTTGTCGGTATTACAATGACTATAACAAAAGTATTGAAGAAGTGTGGGAGCCGGGGAGCCCGTACAATGCCGTCGGCGACCGTGGTGAATGTATTAATTAATATTACTATTATTATGTTGTTGGATTTTAATTTGTCAGATTGATCAATTATTTTTCTAAAATTTCTCTAAGTTTGTGTACCAACCTATCATACACTGAACTAACAAAAATTCCACTTATTGAAGTAATTTCAGATTTTTTTTTTATTATTTACCTTTAAAACAATAAAATTTGTTTTGTTTCTAATAATTAAGTAGAATTACACAGTTATAGTTTAACTTTATGCTTTGTTACACCTACTGTTATATACTCAACAAGTCTTTGGCATGTTTATCCTCGATGGAACTTCTTTTTTACATTAAATCATATATCTGTAATCTTTATATACTTTGTGTTTAAGCTTCTTAGTTTGAAAATATGTTTACGTTGGATATTTCAAAACAAAATCACATAACTCAAATAAAATGAAATATTATTCATTAAATAACTTGAATTCATTAGGTTTAATTAATTAATGACGTAGTGCATTGTTATTGGTGTAGAGCGAATACTCGAATATTAAGCATATTTTTACAATTAATAAACTATTTTTACGTTTAAATGAAATTATAAACGTTACTTTTTTTTTATACTAACTTTCGTAAAAAGTAATTTACTTCCTTTATTTTTTCTATCTTACAAATTTAGTGTATGGAAGGTTTCTATGTATTTTGTAAACTATTATTTTTTTATTCGAAAAAAAAAGAACTCTCTGGTGATAGGCTTTTAATTATTTGGAAACGATATGACCTGAAATATGATATCCTTAGGCGTGTATATTTAGGTAGGGTAAGCTTTATTTCTAACCACCACAATTATGAACAATGTTATAGTTCTAGTTACATATTTACACATGCCTAATACAGTAGTTGTTTTTATACTCTATATTTTTTACCGTTGGTGGCTGAACTGCAACCATTCGTAAATGTACTGCTATGGCATCTGCATACGACGCTCAAGTACAAGTAAAAATCAATTATTAAAATTTAAAAAAAATTGATTATTTCTTAAGGGAACAATATTCTGAAAATTTAAAGTTTTAATATTTCAATGGTTTAAACAATTGTAATATCATACTTATTATTTATATTTTACAATTTTGTATTATGTTATAATTATTAGTTTATCAGTGCTATCTGGGTGGATTACCTATTAGCTATTATTAATTATATATTAAAACCATAAATTAAAATAGGTGTCAAGAGTTTACTATGTCATTTAGATTACTGTTCAATGTAGGAATCCATAACGTTTAAAAGTTAAATGATATTTAGGACATAAATTAGTTCGTTTATATTTGTTAACAAAGAAACAATTATAATGAAATATTTATTTATTAAATATATTATTTACATTTGTACTCACGTCTATAGCAGCCATGTAAGATAGGGTATCAGAAGAGGTAGAAGTATATTTTGTAAAGTAGAACACAGTAGTAATTTGAATATTTAAATTTTATACTTCCAAAAGTGGTCGTGAAATAGAAAAAAAAACATTACTTTTGCTTTAAAAGACGAAAAACGAATTTTCTTCCACGGTGTGTGAAATAGACTACGTTTTCACTGTAGCATATTATAAGGAAATTCTCTGTGGTCCTATATATAGCATTTTATTGACTCTGGTATAACTACATACATAGCATCCACAGTTTCGTTGTTTTTTTTTTTTTTTTTTTTTATTGTAATACAACGAAATAATGAGATTATTTAGAATTTACAATGTTCTGGGGTTTAGAAATAGATGAAGGCTACTTTTTCTATAAACTCGAGTCCGTATAGTGTATGCGTCGTAGCTACGTCACGAAATTGATATTTTCATGAGAAGATATCCGTTTCATAAAAATAAAATGGTTTTTCACGATTTAAAAAAAAAAAAAAAATAAATTTACAGGATATCAAATTTAAGTGATCTTATCATGAAAAAGTTACCATTTCGTTAAATGTACAACTTTCGTGAAAAGATCAATTTTACAAAGTAGCTACAATATGTGCGTCAATGTGAACATTGCATACGAACAATTATTGTCTACCAAACTCAAGGCTATACCTAATGAGAGAAAATACACCGTTAAATAAAATAACTAGAATAATTTTTTTTACAATATTATAACCATTCTCCTTAATGTAGGTTCAGAATATCTTTAAAATCAATATTAAATTAATTTTTTTAGTAAATTAGTAACAGTATCAATGCAAACGTATTGATCATTTATACAATTTTCCACATTAACACTGTCAAGGATAATGACGGATTAGTTATTTATTCCCGTTAATGCATAGATAATAAAATTACGTTAATGAAAATACAAATTATACTTTTGTTTACTTATTTATTTAATTATTATAACAATTTATTGAAATGAAATACAAAATTACAATATTTATTGATACAATAATATAGATATTAAATTACAACAATTACAATATTGAACATTTGGTTATTAAGTTACAGGTTTTATGTTACTACATTAAGTTATACGGTACTGAATTGTGTTTTTTTTTTTTATTGATCTGTGGTTATGAAAGCAACGATGACAGTATTGTCCGCATTTGTAGTTGTTATCGTATTTGTTAAATTAAGATTAATGTAATTGATTAGTTTGAATTATTTTATTCATTACCACTAGGGCCCGGATCTTATTTTATAAATAAAAGTTGCAAAAGGAGTGATTTTTTGATACTATTTTTGATTTTTTAAATATTTTTTAGGGGCATTTTTGCTAATCAATAATTTGTATTTTATCTTATCATTTAGGCAAAATCCTTTAGGCTGAAAATAATTATCCTCGTTGTTTATTGATAATTATATAAATGGTACACATTTTATGATGACTCGGAGGATAATTCACTGAACTCATTGTCCGTAGATTTATATTATGTAAAACTGGAGTATCCAGGTAAAACCCAAAGAGGTAGCAACCCTAGCAGTAGATCGAAAAATAGAATAGACAATGAGTGCAACAGAAAAATGAGAATGCTTAGGTAAACGGATGAGTGGAGTGATGAGTGAAAATATGATAAGAAATAAGTACATAAGAAGTATCTTAGACGTGGTTTCTATAGTGAATAAAATGAGAGAAAAGTTTGGGCATGTCAAGAGGAAATATAGGAACCATAAGTAGTAAGAATTGTAATGAAAATAAACGCGAATGAAAAGAATCCGGAAAAGAGATGGTTGGATGCGATTGAGAATGATATGAGGACAGCCGGTGTATGAGGGGTATGTGATCGGGTCAAGTGGAAGTTTAGGACGAGGGTTGCCGACTCCAAATAGTTGGTATGAAGGCAAAGGAGAAGAATTATTAAATTAAGTTTTATTGTACACTCTTAAAAAGATAATCACCTACTTTAATATTTGCTACAATATATTTTGTGTATTAGTATTTTTTCGTTAGTTAAGTTAATAGTTATAGTTATTGTATATTCATAGTTTTAATCTAAACACACAAAACAATATTTCAGTAAGAATATGTGTTTTTAAAAAAAAATGTGTTTTAAAAGACTCTAGAGTCTCTCATTATAAAGAACTTAAAGTTTTACCAGTCAGGATTTTGCTCAAACAGTTTGCCATTATATTTTAATATTTAATTGTATATTAAATTAGTTCTATACAAGTCAACAAACGTGAAAATAGAGCTTCTGACATTTATGTAATCTACACGAATGAATTGTTGAATTATTTAGGTCCGTTTATGAACCATTCAGTTTCTTGAACCCATATATCTACTATACATATAGTAAGGATTTTTTTTTTCTGAATTAAATACTAGATACATATTTTAATATGCAAAACTCACAATGATATTTTATCTTATTTTTTGTCTTTTTATAGTGCAAAAGTTTTCGACTGCAATGGTTCTTCTCTGTTTTTCATTCTCCTCTTATACCTCCCCTAACAAAGACCGTCGTTGCTGACCGACCGCAATAGGGTCCGCGTATAACGAGATATGTCAAGCACTCCTGTTACTTACGGCCTATGGTTGGTTACTGTATTCACTACACGTCCGCAGCGTTATATCTGGCGGACATTCTCCTACAATATAATAATAATAATAATAATAATATAATATACCTACTATATTTTAGCCGAATCAATAATATAGTATACAAAATAATTGTCATTCACGGAGACCGCATAAATAATAATAATACCGTGTGTCGACTTAGGGCGGGAGACGTGTTTTTACGCGAATTCTTACGTAATTATTAGGCAGTCTGTAATTATAATTTTGCGCAACGTGTGATTATAATAAGTACCTATGATCATCTGTAACACGATTCCATATATTATACCTTTATTGACAACTAAATTCAGCAAAAAAAAAAAACAAAAAATAAAAAAATAGGAAGAAAATATCAAAGTATGATTCATTAAGCACGCTCATCCCATTTTTTAGGTTAAATTTTATATGTATTTAAATTCTGATTTTTGAAATTTTCAACTGCAGTTAAAGCCGATATTTTCGGCTATTATTATCGGATATTAGTGAGGCACTATTAAAAACCGCACGCCATGCCACCACACAAATAATACTCCTGTAACTACTACTCTTTTCTTATCTAAACTTAAAAGTAGAATATTTCGTCAACGAATTGATGAAAATCAAACATTTTAACATCAATGTTGATACTCCATTTATTAATGGAAATTTTAATATAGGTTCTTATTTGAAAATCCAAAATTGGTATCACCGCAAGATACTTTTCAAATGTTGTGAAAAATCTGAGTATTCAAAAATATCAGCTTTAATAACACTTATAAATTCTAAAAATTAGAATTTGAATATGTGAAAAATTCAACCATACAACTGAAGTGAGCATGATTAATGAATCACCCTTTATGTCCCCGTCTATGTCAGCTATCAGTCATTATTAGTAAATATTAAAGACTAATTCAATTAGAAAATGTTTGCACTGTCTAGGCGTTGTACTGAAATTAAAATAACTAAAATTTGAGATTTAATATGGTAGATATAAATAAAAATACGTATAAAAAAACATTTCATACGCAGCATCATTTTTAGTTATATTTTGAATTTAGTTGGTGCACTGGAGAGGTCATTTTACTCTACTCATCCACCGTGTATAGCACATTTATTATATCCAATTAATACCATCTTAGTTCGTAATTTTTTTTCAAATTTGTTTTTTTACCGAAAATCTGGTTTTAAAATTCTTGTATAGCATATTTTTCGAAAGAATATTGTATCTGGTTGGCGTGTTAGTTGATGGTTGTTTTGATTTTTCTTGGAGTTTTCTTAATAACCGGAAAAAATAACATAGAAAAAACGACCGGAATAATGTAATTTACGTCTACATTATTTTTTGTTGTGATTCGGTTAAAAATATTCGTAGTGGTCTGAAATTTTCACAGAATACTTATTTTCACACTTTATAAGCGTGGTGAAGCAGTCTGGCGATGTTTGAGCTAAACACATTCGACTTTTTCGAATTTTTTTGTTATTATTTGGTTGGTATTACATGGATGACATGGATTTTTTTTCCAAACAGAAATGCTTAAACAATTTAATACGAAGTTTATGATAAATGGTATTTAGTGGTAAAAAAAAAAAGCATAGTATAGTAGTTTTTTTTATAAGTGGTCAAGATCAAACATTAACAGTCAAATACAATAAATTATATTTTATAAAATTATTGTATTAATAGTTAAACATTTTTTGATCAATTTATGTAATTAATTTATAGCTAAAAAATAATTAATTACTAACAAAAAAAATGTCTTGGACTACTACCAATGAATGGGGAAAAAAATCAGAAAAATGTAAACATCAATTTTTGAACAGAACTTTATTTATATTTTTATATCTAGTCATATGAAATCTTGTAATTCAAATCGGTCAAGCAAAAAATAAAAAAAGTTTTTACATCTTATTGATTTACAAACCACCTATTAAATATAATATTATAAAATGTGAACGTGTCCACGATAAAAATGTATGATTAAAATAATGTAGGTATATTTATATAAATCGTACCTAGCTTTTTTTCCCCTCAGGATCATATTTTTAAAATGATTGGAAATCACTTTCGTTTTTATGAATAACCGAAACAAATCTTTAATACTCTATGTATAATTAATTGTTTAACTGCACGTCACTATATTTAGTCATTTTGTTATGTTGTGGAATAAGATAACATTTTATTTTATATAATCAAATGTGCTTGAGGAATTTATTTAATCTAAAATTTAAAATAAAATATCTCCTTTTAAATATTGGCAATTAAAACTGTGGTGGGTATTAAACGTTTTTGCTGGAGGAGGGATCCTGAAAAATGGTGTGTATTTTTAAGTTATTATTTCGAATAAATAGTTGTTTTTTAGACGGCATTTTATTGAAAAACAAATCACATAGTTGTACTCACTCAATGAGTTCTCGTATTCAACTATATATTATGCGCACACTATTGCTGCACGTATATTTTGGGAGCTATGACCTCAATACACGACAAAACCCTTCCAAAATTCATTATTAAGTAAATATTAAAAATACATAATAAATATTATGAATGCTAAAGCCCCCCAAAATATGTTGACTATTTCCGTCTAGGATCGTGTTATCAATCCGTGTAGGTCAACATTCGACCGTAGGTAGTCAAAGTTCAATTATAATTGTGTCCATGAAAATGGCTATGGACGATTTTATCAAATTATAAGTATTTAATTGTGCCTATTTCAAATACATATTATATAAATTAATTTCGGCCTCCAACAGGGTGAGGGGGGGGGGTTGGTTCCAGACCGCCACTGTATTCTATAAAAGTTTATATCAATCCAAAAAGTGATAAAAATCACTAAAACTATTGTTTGGCCTTAAATTTAGCTATAATTTGATTTTAATATGAAAACTACTTAGAAAGTAGGCCATATTTATTCAATTTGCACATAATAGAATGACAGCAAGGAACTTTTGAGTACCTACTACCTACATACTTTTTCCGAATGAAATATGCGGATAACTAAAATATCAGTTTTTGCAAATCTTTAATGCATTTTCAGGTCGAACAGGACATAAAATTATAATATATATTCTAGAAATCGTTTAAAAGTTCGTAAAAATTATTAAAAATCCGAGAAAAACTTGCGCCATTTTTTCGCACACAGCTATACGGGTAACATTATGTTACCATTATGATTATTATATTATTATTATTATGTCGTTACAGTTTTTTTTTCTTTCATTTGCGCGCCATCGTCTCTTCGCTCAAAAACCATTTGATAAAACGATCGGGTCCGTCCGTCGGAAATGCGTTTCTTATTACTCGCAATATTTTAACATCAAAAAAATATTACGTCTTCCCGGTAAAAGTTTATCGTACATTATATATAGGTACGTATCGTGATATATTATTATGATATATTCAACCGGCACCCGACGGAACAACGGCCGCTTAATTGTCATTCACAGTGGCAAACGGTGACAGTTAGTACACTTAGAGGTGCCGCGCGGCTGTGTAAATCGTTTCGAAAGTAAAATCCGTTAAGTCCTTGGAGCCTATTTCGTTATAATATTCTATATATAATAATAATAACATAAAATAATGCACCGTCCTGCCATCACTATACGTTATACTTTCTACTTGTGCATGTACAGAGTGCTTTTTTCTTGTCTTGATGTATCTAAGTTTTACCCCAAATCATTTTGTTGTATTCGTTTATTCGTCACGTCTGTTTCTGACAATTTGTCTGCTGACTGGACTCTAGTTTTAAAATCGTAAACTTGAACAATAAATTTAAACAATAAAAAATACAAATGCGACGCGTGTTTTAACTAGAACAACGCTATATAGGACTGGTCTCCAGGATTATTATTGAAAATTATTTTTTTTACTTCACTCTGTATAATAGGTGTAAATATATTCTAGTGTATACCAAATAGAACTATATTGAAATAAACAATTATATTTGATGTCACGATTAATATTTTAGTAATGTAAGTATTATTATGGTAGGTACCTAGCGTTAGTTATTTATTTTCTTTTTACGCGTTCGGTCGATATTATATACTAACTGTGCTAAAGTGCGAATGTTTAGCTTGATTCGATTTGTAGATTATAAAC